TGTGCATCAAGCCAAAGATAGCAGACAGGATTCAAATAAAGTCTTTAAATTACCATGACAAACAAGTTAATCATTAACATCTTGATCATACTAAGCCAAAATGATTCAGACTTTATATTTTCAGTCATCAGTGAAACATGTAAAATTCATTTCATTCACCACAGATAGATATGGTATTATCCTGTGCCTACATATATTTGTTCTAGCCAAGCTGTCAGTGATATCTGGAAAGACTCTAAAATAAAATACCATTTTTTTAGTTTCACTAACTATGACATATCATTAAAATTTCTCTGGGACCAGAGGTACATGGAAGTTTCAAATTTGTAATTTGTGAAATTACTCAGGATAAACTTAGCTAGATACATTTTAAATTGAAAAGCAAATAAAGAATTTCAGATAAATAGAAAACACATATTTATAAAATCTGCTTTAAATATCTTAGATATTTTTGCATTTCTTCTGTTGGTATTTTTACCTTCACTCACTTTCACTATAAATGGCTTTAGTTTCCTATTACCCCAGTTCATCCTTTGAAGCTGCCACTCTGTCCAACCTCTGCAGTATTTAGTGTGAACACAGTTTATCCTCTACCCTCTCCTGTCAATCACTCCTACAAACTCTGTTCTCTAGAACCGCACTGTCCAATATAGCAACCACTAGCCACATATCGCTGTTTAGACTTTTTAAATTAAATTAAAAATTTAGTTCCTCCATTTCATCAGCCACTTTTCAGGCATTTTATAGTTGCATGTGGTTAGGACCTACTGGACAAAGCAAGTGTGAAACATTTCCATTGTTGTGGTGCCCCGGAGTTTGGATCTAGAATTTCTATGTAGGAAGAGTTTATGGTTGGTAAGGTGATAGAAATAGGGGGTTGGGGGTTTGTCCTGAAGCTGCATTGGATGTCATTTTGTACATAGATTGTATGTTTGTACATGTGTCTATGGGAGGAGGGCAGAATGGAAATTATATGAGGGCAGAATAAGGCTCACAAAATCAAGCCACTCTTTTATACAATTATTGTTCTAATCACACCAAAGTCTTTTCCTCAAAAAGAAACTGCACTTAATTACCTCCAAGCCTTTTTTCACCTTGTGGTTATCTCTATTAGCTATTGCTCTTCCCACAACAACTCAGTAACAACTTACCCTCCAACGCCGAGCCTCAAAGAGACCTCCCTTTGGGAAGTTCCCATAGCACTCCTTTCTTAGGCTCTTAGACAATACAATTTAAATTCCTATTGTGGAATAAATCACAGCCTTGCCTCAATTATGGTACATATGTCTGTGATTCCTCCATTAGACTCTGATCCTGTCAAGAGCAGGAACTTTGTCTTGTTTTCTAAATATTTGCCCAGTGCCTAGTACAATGCCTTCAGGAGCTCAGGAACTGTTTGCTAAATTAACTTTTAAATAGCTTATATTCTAAAAGACATCCTGACTAAAGCTATTCCAAGCACAGTCCTCCCCTTCCCAGTTAAAGATAACTTCATCCTTCACTACACAGGCCAAAAACTTTGGAGTCACCTTATTTTCTTAACTCTTTTTTTTTTTTTAATTTTTTTCATCACATCCACTGTTATTACCCAGTCCTACCATCTCTGTTTGGAATTTTTGCAATAGTCTTATACTTGGTTATCTTACTTCTACATTTGCATCTCCTCATTATTTTCAGCCTAGCAGCTAGTTACTCTTTCATTTTACATATATTAAAAAATTATGTAGAGCTTAGTATGTACTAGTTACTGTTCTAGGCACTTTACAAATGTTAATTTATTTATCCCTCACAATGACTCTTTGAAATAAAAACAATTATCCCTGTTTTACAGATGAGGAAAATGAGGCACAGAAAGATTAAGTAGTTTGTCCAAGGTTGCCTAGATCATAGAACATAAATCATATCACTTCTCTTTCTAAAGCACTTCCTTCTCAGAGTATGTGCCAAAGTCTTTCCAAAGGTAGAAGGCCTAAAAGGTTGTATGTGGTCTGCATCCTCCCTCTTTTCTACTTCATTTTCTTCCATAGCAATTTATTAATTTTTTTTGTCTATCTCTCCCCCAATAAATTAAGCTCTACCACAATAGGCAGAGATCTATGTTCTCTTTCCCACTACAGATTTTATTCTTAGTGCTGAAAACAATGCCCTGTATGGTAGGCCCTCTTCACATAACTGTTCACAAATGAATGTATCACTTCTCATTTACTCTAAGTGGAAATGTTTTTTAAAAAGGAATTAAAAACAGAAATTTCAGAATTCCTACAATTTAGAATTTACAAGTTCAACCTATTGATGTGTTACGATCCTTAGGGCTTACTATCTTTTGAGTGTTTATAAAATCAAACATTATTAACGAAGTAGGTAGTTAAAATTACAATTTTATGGATATATACAAAACTCCATTTAGTAATGGGTAAATTAATAATGGCAAGAATGAAAATAAAAATCCCTCTTTAATTAAACGTGACAGATTTTTAAAAATCATATGTGAGAGAAAGAGCCTAAAAACAGTGTAGGTTTTTGCCAGTTTAATAGTTTGGATGAAGCTTTAATGGATTCTGCCTGCTACTCTAAATGTCTAAGAACAAAGTTCTGACTTTTGGGCAGAGTTCTAGCAAATCAGCAACTGTGGTGTGTTAGATTCTGAGATAATTGCTTCCTTGTATATTACTTGAAAAACAGTTCAGTGAGGGCAGCCCCTATAATATTTTTAAGATCAAACAAAGGATGTGGAAAAAATCAATTAATATCCATCAAGAATTTAAATAATCAAATATCATTTTAAACTACAGTAGCGATCAGTTTCAAGAGCTGCAGACTATTTCAAATTATTTTCTCTTTTTAACTTCATCTTTGGAAATTATATATGTGCTCCCGAGGTTCCTTTGCTTCAGCTTTTTATTTTAAACTGCTCAAACACCACTGCATCGGGTTTTCCTTTGGATGAAAGAAAAAGCTATCCTTTGGTATATTTAAAAAAAATTTTTTTAACGAGTTACTCCATATTCATAAGACCTATCTATCCAATTTGTAAACATGCTTATTTCTGAAGTCCAGTCTCAGAAATCCTGATTTTCTAGGTTTGGGAGTGCAGTCCAGGAAATTTCGTCTATTCTTTGAGAACTACTGGACTCAGTGCAATTTTCACATTTTGCAGTTTTCAGAATATTAATTTTAGAGATCTAAAAAGGAGAGGGCAAACTCGGGTGGCTGTCAAAAGAAACAAGAATCAGCAGCACGCCTTGTGCCATTTTGCAAAACTTTTCCTCAGGTTGCAGATCTTCTGTCCCTAGGGAGGAAGTCAGTTCATTATCACCGACTAATTAACCATTTTCCAACCGTGTCCATCCACGTCGTTTAGGATGAACCCCAAAAGGCATGAACTCATCTCCACGGCAAACACTGAAAAAACTCCGTTCATCCAACTTGGCCCCAAAAGGCCGCGGGCGCCGGGTCGCTTCCCGCCAGCCAGGCTCCTCCTCTGCTCGCCTTCTGGGTCCGGTCCTCCCGAAGGCGCTCGGTGCGGCAGGTCTTGGCGCCAACCGGGTGGCGGCGCTGTTTGCTCCGCGCGCCGCCGCTTGAGGCCCGAGGGAGGCGGAGGCAAGGCCGGCGGAGGAAGGGGCGGGAGCGAGGCGCGCGCCCTGCTCTCGCGTGCTCTCGCGCCGCTCGCGTGACCGGTCGGTGTGTGCGAGAGGCGCCGGCTGCCGGGAGCACGGACGGCCGCGCGCGCGCCGCTGCGAGGGGCGTCCGGGTCCGGGTCGGCGGACCCGGCCGGCGCGAGGTGCTGGCGGGCGGGCAGCCGGGGTCCGGGGCGGACACACGCGCACACGCTCCCGGAGGAGCCTTCTCCGAGGCTGCTCTTCCTCTGCCAGACGGAGAGCGGCAGTGTCTCCCCGCCCAGCTCTCACTCGCCCCGCGTCTCCCCCCGCGGCGACTGCTCCTCCTCGGCACCGCCAGCCCCAGCGCCGCTCCGGGGCGGGCGGCGGCGGCGGCGGCGGGACCCGCGGAGCCGCTTTGTGTGCAGCCCGGAGAGGGGCGGCGGCGCAACCACCTGACAGAGGCCCGGGCGCTCGATGCACCTTCCGCCCGCATGAGGAGGAGGTAAAGGCGGCGGCGGCTCGGCTCCCGCCCTCGGCTGGGGAGGGAGGGGACGGAAGGGGAGATCGGGGGGGTTGGGGGGCGCGGGACTGAGGCCCGGCGGGGCTGCCTGGAGGTGCCGGTAAGGCCTCGGCGGCACCGGACTGCGCCGAGTGGCCGGGGGCGAGAGAAGCCGCCGGGGTCCCTGAGCCGAAGTTGAAGGAACAAAATGTGAAGTGCGGAGCCGCGTCAGCCGCTTCCTGGCTTGGGGTTCGGGGTGGAGGGCAGCTTGTTTTCCCCTCCCGCGGGGGTGAGGGACCGGGACACGGGAGGGGCGGGAGCGTGGCGGGGACACCGGGGGTCCCAAAGCTTTGCCCGGCAAGGGCGTAGGTTCCCAGGAGCCGCCGCTGCGTGTAGGTCCCGTTGGGTCCCTAGTTTTGCGGCCTAAGCCGAGCCCTATAGGCCTCGCGTCTCTTTTCCCGGAGGGGACCGGCCGGGCGGGCGTTCGAGGCTTCTCTCTGACCGAGCCGGGGCCTTAGGGGCCTCGCTGGGCCCTCGAGGCCTCCAAACTTCGGACCTCGGTGCTTGGGGGTGGGATTTCATTGTGAAAGGGGGAATGGGAAACTCCTGGCGCTGCTCGGCGCTTCCCGCGGCCGCCGGTGCCAGGGAGCCGGGAGGGCCTGGGGTCGGCGGGGCCCGCGTGGGTGGGGGCGGCGAGGCGGCCACCGGGGTCCAAGCCCCGGGAAGGAGCGGGTAGGGAGGCCGCCGCCGAGTCCCCGGCCTCCCTGGAGAAAGGACCCTTTGCAGATTAGGATTTTTGAAATGAAAAAAGAGGTTACAAAGTCGCCCCTTTCCCGCTGAACTTTTGTTTTCTGACCGATAGAGGCCGGTAGAGGACCGTGAAAGAAAAGTTGTCCCCCAGGATGGACTTCGCCGCTCAGCCCAAGCCTGCCACTGCCCTCTGCGGCGTCGTGAGTGCCGACGGGAAGATCGCTTACCCTCCGGGGGTGAAGGAGATCACCGACAAGATCACCACGGACGAGATGATCAAACGACTGAAGGTAAGTTTCTCTGCACAGAAGGTTCACACTTCAGACGTTTGTGGTAGGAGGGCTCTCTCCAGTGGTATTACTGCTCTGCGGGGCCTGGCCTTAAGTTTCACCTACTAGGCTTTTTTTTTTAAGATATTTTACGTCTTTTCTTTTACCCCCTTCTGAAGGGTATCATTCTGTCTTGGCTGTATCTTTGAATAGTAATCTCTGTTAAGGACATAATCATTATGGGAAATTAAAAGGGTATGTATGTGGTATTTTTTAATTCTACTTTTTTTCCCTCTAAGTATAAAAATTGGAGTATTTTTAAAGGTTTTTTTGGTCTAGAAGTATTTTTGAGAATACTATTCAAAGTAGCTTCCAGCTTTAGAGGTAGGCAATAATTTGCCTAGGAAGGTTTTCATCAGCTTCTAGAAGACTGATTTAAGTGCAAAATGCATTTTAAAAATTATCACAATTTTCTGATATCCAAAAACTTAAGTATGTAAATAGTATGATTAAACTTTAACAGCAGGTACTGACTTTTCAAAATTCAGGCGTGAAGTAGAGTGATGACTTATGTCCACATGTTCAAAGGGGTTTTAAGGGACAGTAATTATGGCTTATTTTATAAGGGGTCAGCTTATTTTCAAACATGGGGGGCCTGATGTGAAAGGTTGTAAGTTTCAGCCTTTAGGTAAGTTAATTTTTTTGTTTTCTGTTGCATGGTTATAGATTGTGGCCACAGCCTTACAAAGTAAGTTTTACTCTTATTAAGGGATCAGCTTGATGCAGTAGTTCTCAGCCATGGCATCTTTGAGTCCTAAGGAATTTGACTCCTAATGTCAGTGCTGAAGACATTTTTTTTGGTTACCATTGGGGGTTGGATTGGAATAGGGGAAGACGAGACAGGGAGTCCAGCTAGGAGACTGTTAAACGGTAGTCTAGGTCGAAGATGTTGAAATCATGAAGTGGGGCTATGATAGTGGGAATAGAGAGATAGGGAACAATCCAAGAGACATTTCGGTGTTTTACTAATCAGGTAGAGTGTGTGGAAGGTGAGGAAAGCGACAGTATTGACACCTTGCCAGTCTTCCCCTTGGGCGACTTGTTGAGATGGATTTCAGAAAATGATCTTGCCCCTTGGCTGTTAGAGCCTAGGACAGTGCCTGGTAAGTGCTGACAGTGTTGTGAGTGAGTAATATGTAAGTGTTCCTGTAGTTTGTTTTTAAAAATCTAGTTGGATCCCACAATTTGCAGCCCATTTGGAAGGAATAGGACACGATACCTTCCATCAAAATAAATCTTGATACTAAAGACTGTACATGAAGTGGAGTGCTTAATTGATGCTTCTTAAGGTTGTACTATTATTATTTTAAATTTTTGAGATGCTGAAATATGACTTATGAAATATAAATTAAGTAAAATTGTAGATCTTTCTATTATTTCCGTATTAAGAATATGGAAACCTGAATTCTGGTGATGGATAATCTGGTTTTTAAAAAGTTAATGATTGTATATACATCTTCTATTTGAAAGTAGATTAAATGTCAGAAGTATTTTTTAACTAAAATTGACAGTCTAGAATGAGCATATGGTTAGAATACTCATTTGTTATGAGTTCTTTGGGAAGTTAAATTTGATATACATATTAATCAATTTGAATGTCCTATTGCTAAAATGTTGCTTTTTCAAGAATTCTTATGATTTTTGTCTTCCTCCTGCCTTGTAAGGTGATTTTGACTTTGTACTTTTTAGGAAGGAGCTATGCTCACCACTATACCACCAATTCACGCTGTACTTTTTAGGGATCCATGTTTAGTTAAAGTATTACTGTCTTACTAGCATAGATTTTAAATAATATATAACTATATTTTTGATAACTTTTGTGTTGTTTGTAACTTGTATAAATTCAGTAGTTTATTATTATTATAGCAACAATGTTCAAATATTGTGAGGAGGGGGGCTTAAAGGCTAGTAAAACCCTGGTCAGTAGATTTCAAAGATGTTTGGTCCATATTCTTCAGTTTTCAAGAATGGAACAAGCATTTTCCTTTTAGAAGGATCCTAGAAGAAATTCCAGAACTCTTTTTATTTCCTAGATAATGAAAGTTAGACCCAAAGTGGCCAACTAATATTTACCAAGATCAGTCATGGGATTGGTTAGTGGCAGAGCCAGGGCAATAGCATCATGTATCTTTTTATTCTTATGGCTGCTTTCTTCTAAGGAATCTAAAGGAAGTTGATCAAGGAAGCTGTGATTTTTATCATGTGTTGGAAAACAGTAAAGTGAAAAAGGGAAGGGAATCAATGAGAGTTAACTTGGTCTTCTGCAGGGAAATATAGGACAGGATTTTGTGTTCTTAACATTAGAAACTATTGTGATGCTTTCAAGGTTTCTTGAAAGTAATTCTTAGAGTATGTCTTTGAAAAAGCTAGAACATACTTTTGTATTTTAGAAGTTTTCCTTTCTATTTCCAAGGAACTGCTCTGTTTTTACATCTGGTTAACACTGCCATTCTGTCAGTTCCTTAAACGTGCCATGTTCATTTCTGCCGAGACAGATTTTACATTATGTAACCCATATAGGTACTCTTCCTCCTGTTTTATTAAGGGAAGTCTCTTAGATTTCCTGTTATATACTCCTTTAAGTCCTTCCTGTCACTTGTTACAGATGTGGTGTCACATTTATGCTGTGTTTATTTGGTTTGTGTCCCCAGGTTCTCTGTAAGCTTCATGCATAGCACATGTTTGTTTATTTTTGTATCTTCCCAGTGCTTAGTTATGTGTGTGTGCTCAGTTGTGTCCAGCTCTGCAACGCCGTGAACTGTAGCCCACCAGGCTCCTCTGTCCGTGGGATTTCCCAGGCAGAAATACTGGCGTGGGTTGCCATTTCCTACTCCAGGGGATCTTCCTGACCCAGGGATTGAACCTGCGTCTCCTGTGTGTCCTCTATGGCAGGTGGATTTTTTACCACTGTGCCACCTGGGAAGCCCCACAGTTAGGTGCTGAACATATATTTGTTGAATGAATGAATAAATAATATGTATTAATATTGGTTTAGAGAAGTATTCTTATTTTTTAAAATGAAGGATGATTTGAAAATATTTTTAATTTACTTTATCTGAGATTGCATACTAGAGATGATAAAGTAGATATTTATAATTTTAGAACTAGAAGGTAGCTTTTAAGTTATTTGGTTTTGTTCAGATTTTCCAGATAAAGAAACTGATTCTGAGAGGTTGTGACCAACCCTAGTCACATTAAGCTGAAAACTATCATTAACGGTTTTGTTATTTAGATCAGTTATAGAAATATTAAAAGCCATATAAAAGTTAGCTGTTTGGGAGGATAGCAGACATTTTTTAATACCACTGTTACATTAAGCATCAAGATATGTAGTTCACAAATATCCTTCCTCCTGTTTAATTAAGGATTCTGAAACGAATGCAGGAGTCATGCCTGATTAGTTTTGTAACACATTCAAGATACACCTATAAACAGTATTGTACAAATTCCATTAAGTGCTTCTGCCCATGGACTGTTACACAGTCTCCCTCAGGTCACATATTACAAAGCTATATGACACATATTATTTTTTCTCCTGTTCCTGCTCTTTTGGAAGTGGGAGGCCTTAAGTCAGCCTTGGTTTTTAAAGGAAGGTGGGTATTAGGATGAAGTTTGTTATTACATCTGTTTCTGTTACCTGCTTTCAGAGTTCACTGCCCCAGACAGGTCTCCATACCCCAAATACTTACTACTGTGATGCTAAGAATTAGGAAAGAGTAAGCCATAGAGTTTTATTATTCTGAAAATGTCCCCCATTTTTCTCCCACTAGGTGCTACTTCTGTGTTTTCTTTGTATTTTTCTATGATCTTCTCTTTGTGTCCATCATTCTCCCTCTTCCCCATGTTCTCACTTCTGCTTTCTGTAGTCTGGCCTGTGGGATACTTCAATATGAGTTAGGATATGGTGGGCTTGATTGAGGTAGAACACTCCCTTTTCTCATAAGAACCTAGGTTGGAAGAGGGGAAGAATAGATTGCAGGAAGACCATGAATTCTTTCCTTTTCCTTCCCCGCAGGTGGACCTCAGAAATACTTGATTGGGTGATAATCATTTTCACTTGCATAAATGATTTTTTATTTACTCCTAGTTGCCACATGGTATGCTAATTTTATAGGTAGTTTAGTGTATAATTTCAAGTCTGGATTTCGTCTATATATTTTGTTTTAATAAATGTATTACAGAAGATTGTGCTAAGAAAATAAATTAAATGGAGAGGCAAGATTTCTTAAAATGAAGTCCTAAAATATGGCCAGTATACATTTGTGAAGTAATGCTTCATGCAGTACAGCTTTTATTTTAAATTTCCATTTGTGTAGAGGAATTGTTCTAGTTATCAGCTGGTGTGTAACAAGCTACCCCTAGACCTAATAGTTTAAAACAGCAACCTTTTTCCCTCTGCCCCCTGCCAGCCGACGTCCTCGCCACACTGTGGAAGACGTGCATTTCCCATGAGTCGGTGCTGGGTGACGTGGACACCATGGCCTGCCCGTGCGTGCCACACGCCCAGCACCTGCCTGCCCGCCCCCCGGGCCTTCCACGGGGGCTGGCACCTGCTGGGGGTTCTGGTTTTTACTTTTTTAATGTAAGTCTGAGTCTTTGTAATTACTGAATAGTGAGAACATTTTTGAACAATTTGCCTGTCAATAAAGCAGAAGACAGCAAAAAAATAAATGAAAATAAAACAGCAACTTTTAAAAACCTTATTGTGGTAAATAAAATACATATAAAATAAAATTTGCTATTTTAATCATCTTTAAGTGTATAGTTCAGTGCCATAGTTCCAAAGTGCAGTGCAGAGTTCCAAAGAATAGCAAGGAGAGATGAGAAAGCCTTCCTCAGTGATCAATACAAAGAAATAGAGGAAAACGATAGAATGGAAAAGACTAGAGATCTCTTCAAGAAAATTAGAGATACCAAGGGAATATTTCATGCAAAGATGGGCACAATAAAAGACAAAAATG